TAAGAAACTACTTGATGACAAAGCACTTTCATTTTCCGAGAGCGACCCTTTCAGTTTCTGAGGAAGACTGCTTGCTGACAAAGCACTTTCAGTTTCTGAGAAAGACCCATGATTAATTAATTTGAGAGTTAAATTAGCATATGCTTGTCTCAAGCTGCCTGTGCTTGTCTCATCTCAGACAGGGTTCAGATTTCCGCCAATAAAACACTACTCTCGTACGTGACCATGGCTACCGACTTCAGGCAATATAAACTGTAAGCTGTTATGCTTTCTGGCTATTTTGCCATAATTGCTTTCATTTTTACTCATACGTCCCACTTCTTTTCTGCAAATTCACTTTAAGACTTGTTCTATAAATTGCCACATTGCATCACTCACCATATAGTTTCTCGGAAACAAAGCAATACCAAAGAAGCTCTTCCGAAACTCCTTTCGCTTGGAACAGCCGGTGAACAACCCTTGTAACCCTTGTAACCCCCCTAGTAAACACGATACCTTTAATTTCAAGCCAATCACTGAGTTGTCTGTGGATGTCTAACGCCTTAAAGTGCAATTAAGCATTTTTTTGTGTCAAGAAAGTCATTATATACATCATACATTGCTTTTATTGTTTCGAGGAGCACTGCACGGAAAATGGTTCCGTGATAAAATGAAAATGGAATGAAGACCAATACTGGCCAGCGCGGGGTGACTCATTCCAGTACTGGCCCGGATATCTTACTCAGCACGTTCGCTTCAAGCCATTCTCTTGTACATACATTTCCAGCTTTGTTTTGTTTTGGTCTGTTTTATTGTGAGCGTAGGATTTTTTTTCAGTTACGTAAATTAGTTATGATGCAAATGTAGAGTGCGTCGCTATTGAAATATTCTTGTCAGTCCGTATTATCGACCAGACCTGCCTATCATTCAGTTAACAGCGCGCGAACGAATTTNATCATACATTGCTTTTATTGTTTCGAGGAGCACTGCACGGAAAATGGTTCCGTGATAAAATGAAAATGGAATGAAGACCAATATTGGCCAGCGCGGGGTGACTCATTCCAGTACTGGCCCGGATATCTTACTCAGCACGTTCGCTTCAAGCCATTCTCTTTTACATACATTTCCAGCTTTGTTTTGCTTTGGTCTGTTTTATTGTGAGTGTAGGATTTTCTTTTCAGTTACGTAAATAAGTAATGATGCAAATGTAGAGTGCGTCGCTATTGAAGTATTCTTCTCAATCCGTATTATCGACCAGACTTACCAATCATTCAGTTAACAGCGTGCAAACGAATTTTTGTCTGAAGGACACCCACGACGGCTTGGCGTAACCTTAAGTCGGTTAAATTTTCATCACAGACGGACATCTTACACCAGCTCTACATTTCAGATTTCAAAGACATACTAAAGAAGTTTTCCAAGAAAAATATCTTCGTCAATCGTTACGCGAACAAAATTAATATTAGCATACCACTGCATAGGTGAGGATCAGTGTCTATTCCCCCAGACGGCATTTTTCATAAACGCAGGTAAAGTAAGTTTATAACTCAAGTTAACGAAACCGTTTCTATTGTAAAATCAAAAAAATAGCAAACCTATGAAACAGATGGGTTTTCATTCATTTCTTCCGCCAGTCTAACTATTGTGAAAGTCAGCCCAACTTGTAGTAATAATAGTGCCGACAAAGTGGTTCTTATATATAGAATCTTGTGATACGACTCATCCTAAAGAGGATAAGCTGCTTTTTGAAAAATCAGTTTGATAGTTTACATCTAAAGTAATAAACTTCTCAGTTATTTCTCCATGAGTTATCGAGGGCATATGGCCTTTCGACGAGGGTACTGTTCTTTTGGAAATAACTCTGGATAACGATTTAGAGTTTTCCGTATCCGATGTTTGTTACCCAGTTGTTCTACAGTCTGTCCGAGTCTGTAACACATATGAAGTCCTTCTTTCATCGCCACCTCCGTTTGGTCTATCTTTCCTTCTTCTTCATACAAGAGAGCCTGTTGAGTCTCCACCCTGACTTTCCACATGTGATTCTCATCTAGTTCTCTCTCGGCAACGCGTTCCGCCTTTTAGAGTAGAGTTTCTTGCTTCTTCATGGTTGCCTTTGCTCTTGTGGCAAAGTCCATAGCTTTTTAGAGTCTGAATACTCTTCTTATGACCATCCATCCCCAACTTTTTCATCATTTCTAGCGCCTGTTGGTAATACGATAGTGCTCTATCCTGTTCAGTCTTGTTTCTTGAAAAGAAAAGTAAGTCGGCAAAATCTTTTAGGCACTGTGCAGTCATAAAATGTTCGTCATGACACTTGTTGAAAAGCTGCCATGCTTGCTTAATCTTTTTCGCAGCTTCTTTCTTTTCCTTGCGACGTTTCTTGAGCCGTCCAGCAAAGGGCAAGGCTGCTGCTCTTTCAGGATGTTCAGGGAGTTTCTCTTTGCAGATTTGGAGTGATTTCCGGTAAACTTTCTTGGGTTCATCTGTTACTTTCTCCTCTAAAAGAGAGCGGGCATAGCTATGAAGATAAAGGACTTCTAACAACGGGTTTGACTCAAAATCAGTACCCTTCTCTTCATAGAGCTTTCTGGCTTCCTCCGTATAGGCATTGTACTTTGCTGTGTCGCCTACCTTTCTAACTTCATGTCCAAGAAGGCACAAAAGTTCCACTCTATGCACTGGTTGAAATTCTGAGTCAAACGCTTCCAACAACCTTTCCAGGATGAAAATGTAAAATTTCGGAAGAACACACATTTCTAAATACATGCACTTTTGGGGAAAATCGTCGAGGAAAGTTATACAGGATTCCAGGATATCCCAATCCTCCTTTTCCCTTCTTTGAGCGTAGATTTGAAGAATATGCTCAAAATTGTGCCTGTCCGTGTTAAATGCCTCAACAGACTCTCTGCAACTGTCTTTACTCCAGTACCTGTTGGCACTTTCAGCCAGGCGACAGATAAAATGAGCACAGGCCAATTTTCCTCCTGCAACTTTAAGATTGGGGTACTCAGCTTCAGCAAGCTTCTTTGCTAAATTTTGAATAAGCGGATGCATCTGATATATTCGGGGCCTTGGTTGCTCGAGAAGTGATCTGTTTTTCAGGGAGCGAAGGATGGAACTAGGCAGAGTTCCAGGGATCGAGCATGCTTCCATAACAGCCTCAGCAGCATCTGATTTAAATGGACCCAGAAACACAGTCAAGAGAACGAAGGCTTCTTTATGTTCAGCTTGAGTCAGAGGGTCAAATGAGGTCTTGATTGCATTTTCCACTGATGTTTCATCGTCTTTCAGAACATCCAAAGGCTGCTCNAACAGCCTCAGCAGCATCTGATTTAAATGGACCCAGAAACACAGTCAAGAGAACGAAGGCTTCTTTATGTTCAGCTTGAGTCAGAGGGTCAAATGAGGTCTTGATTGCATTTTCCACTGATGTTTCATCGTCTTTCAGAACATCCAAAGGCTGCTCCTCTAGGTGTTTGATGAGCTTTTCTTCGGTGTAGTCGGAAAGCAGTGACCCAACAACGCAAAGGAATCCCGCCACATAGCTCAACTAATCTTTTTGTCTTACAAAGCTTTTTTCGTACATCATGATCGTAGATTCGAGAGACAAGAATACCCTTTGCTTCATCGACTGAAACTGGGTTTAGCCTTACTTCCCTCAACTGCAAATTGGGATCTTTAAATGTTTTTCTTGTAGTAATGACAAATGTCACCTTTTGCTTCGACAACATTCTTACCGCCTGTAAGATGCTTGGGAACGAACTTCGATCTTTCGACTCAAGGACACCATCTGCATTGTCGAGGAAAAACGTGACTTGCGTTTGGATCTTTTTGCTCCAGTCTTTGAGCCACTGTTCCGGATTCTCTGGCGCTTTTGTGTGGATTGTACCGCATGAATGGATCATTTCTGTGGCTACTTTATTGAAGGATCTCCGTGTCAGTAAACTGCAAAACAAGACAGTCCTTTCGTTTTCTGGTTTGGCTAGCTCATGAGCCACTTCGTTAGCCACAGTTGTCTTTCCAAATCCCGGTCCCCCGGTTATCAGGACAACAGGCACTGTGCCAGTTTGTACAATTTCTTTGACTTCCTTTATTTCTTTCTCACGACCAAACATAAGTTTCTCTGGTACTTTGTCTGGAAGAAAGCTGCAANTCCAAAGTTCTTTAGAGTCAGGATACTTTATTTGCTTTCAATCATTCCGAGATCTTCAAGAATTTTAATGGCCTCTGCATAATGCTCAAAGCATATGTCCAACTCCGTCTTGCCCTCCGATTTCTGATGAAAAAAGTAAAGGTCTGCGATGGCTTTGAGACTTTGAGCAGTCATAAAATGTTGACCGAGGCGTTTTTTAAAGAGTTTCAACGACTCGGTCAATTTCTGTTCCGCTTCATCCCAGTTCTTTTCACGCTTTTGAAATATTCCTGCATATAGAAGAGTTGTTGCTCTCTCCGGGTGTTCCCCTAACTTGTCACGGGAGAATTCCAATACAGCTTCAATTTCTTCTCCTATTCTCTCGGATTCGTTGGGGTCTTTTTTGTCAGAAAGATAGCGGACAAAACTGTTGCGAAAGTAGACCTCTGATAAAGCATTGGTTTCAAACTCAGCACGATTTTTTGAATGAACTTCATCAGCCTCCATCATGAGCTTTCGGTACTTTTCTTTTTCTCCCGCTTTTCTGTATTCGTGCCCAAGAAGGCACAAAAGTTCCACTCTTTGCACTGGTTGAGTTTCTGAGTCAAACGTCTCCAACAACCCTTCCAGGATGGAAATGTAAAATCTCGGAAGAACACACATTTCTAAATACATGCACTTCTGGGGAAGATCGTCGAGGAAGGTTTGACAGGATTCCACGATATCGCCATCGTTCTTTTCCCTTGCTTGAGCGTAGATTTGAAGAAAAGACTCAAAATGGTTCCTGTCCGCGTTAAATGCCTCGACTGACTCTCTGCAACTGTTCTTACTCCAATACCGGTTAGCGTTTTCAGCCAGGCAAGACATAAAGTGAGCACAGGCCAATTTTTCTCCTGCAGCAACAAGATCGGGGTACTCAGCCACGCCAATCTTCTTTGCGAAAGCTTGAATGAGTGGATGCATCTGATATCTGCTGGGGCTTGGCTGTTCGAGAAGTGATCTTATTCTCAAGGAGCGAAGAATCGAACCAGACAGAGTGCCAGAGATTGAGCATGCTTTCATAACAGCTTCGGCAGCTACTAAATTAAAATGGCCCGGAAATACTGACATGAGAATCAAAGCATCCTGTTGAGCTTTCGTTAAGAGGTCAAAAGAAGTCCTGATTACACTTTCCACTGATGTCTCACCGTCATCCAGGACAGTCAAAGGTTCCTCTTCCAGATGTTTTATTAGTATTTCTTCGGTGTAGTCTAAAAGCAGCGATCCAACAGTGCAAAGCGCCAAAGGAACTCCGCCACATAGCTCGACTATTCTTTCTGGCCTGGAAAGCTTCTGTCGGACATCTTGATCGCTGACTCGTGAGATAAGAACGTTCTTCGCGTCTTCGACTGGTAGTTGTTTTAGTCCTACTACTCTCGGCTGTAGGTCGGGATCACTGAATGTTTTTCTTGACGTAACGACAAATGTCACGTTTTGCCTCGATAGCATTCGCATGGCACTTAACATCTTTAAGAACGACTTTCGATCTTCGGACTCAAGTACACCATCTTCATTGTCGAGGACAAACGTGACTTGCGTTTTGATCTGTTTGCTCCAGTCTTTGAGCCACTGTTCTGGATTCTCTGGCACATGTGTGTGGATTCTGTCGCAGTAATGGATCATTTCTGTAGCTATTTCATTGATGTTTCTCTTTCCAAGTAGACTGCAAAACAAGACAGTCCTTTCGTTGTCTAGGTTTGCTAATTCATGGGCCACTTCTTTGGCCACGGTTGTCTTTCCATATCCTGGTCCTCCGGTTATCAGGACAACCGCAACTGTTCCACTCTGCACGAACTCTTTGACTTGCTTTATTTCTCGGGTACGACCAAACGTACGTTCCTCCGGTATTTTGTCCGGAAGGCAGCTGCAAAGTTCCGACATTACTTCTTGCCCTTCTTGATGTTCTCTCCTCCACTGTTTGAGTCGTTCTTCCACTCGCTGAATCAAGTCATGATCGATGGGAACGCTCTTTAGGCGTTGTATCTTCTTTTCATTGACGCTCGCTTCCAGGTCTTTAAAAGACGATGCTATCAGATGTGTCAGATCCGATCCGTACGTTGAAACTAAAACGCCTCGAAATATATATTAAGAAACTACTTGATGATAAAGCACTTTCATTTTCCGAGAACGACACTCTCAGTCTCTGAGAAAGAATGCTTGTCTTAAATATATATTAAGAAACTACTTGATGACAAAGCACTTTCATTTTCCGAGAGCGACCCTTTCAGTTTCTGAGGAAGACTGCTTGCTGACAAAGCACTTTCAGTTTCTGAGAAAGACCCATGATTAATTAATTTGAGAGTTAAATTAGCATATGCTTGTCTCAAGCTGCCTGTGCTTGTCTCATCTCAGACAGGGTTCAGATTTCCGCCAATAAAACACGACTCTCGTACGTGACCATGGCTACCGACTTCAGGCAATATAAACTGTAAGCTGTTATGCTTTCTGGCTATTTTGCCATAATTGCTTTCATTTTTACTCATACGTCCCACTTCTTTTCTGCAAATTCACTTTAAGACTTGTTCTATAAATTGCCACATTGCATCACTCACCATATAGTTTCTCGGAAACAAAGCAATACCAAAGAAGCTCTTCCGAAACTCCTTTCGCTTGGAACAGCCGGTGAACAACCCTTGTAACCCTTGTAACCCCCCTAGTAAACACGATACCTTTAATTTCAAGCCAATCACTGAGTTGTCTGTGGATGTCTAACGCCTTAAAGTGCAATTAAGCATTTTTTTGTGTCAAGAAAGTCATTATATACATCATACATTGCTTTTATTGTTTCGAGGAGCACTGCACGGAAAATGGTTCCGTGATAAAATGAAAATGGAATGAAGACCAATACTGGCCAGCGCGGGGTGACTCATTCCAGTACTGGCCCGGATATCTTACTCAGCACGTTCGCTTCAAGCCATTCTCTTGTACATACATTTCCAGCTTTGTTTTGTTTTGGTCTGTTTTATTGTGAGCGTAGGATTTTTTTTCAGTTACGTAAATTAGTTATGATGCAAATGTAGAGTGCGTCGCTATTGAAATATTCTTGTCAGTCCGTATTATCGACCAGACCTGCCTATCATTCAGTTAACAGCGCGCGAACGAATTTTTGTCTGAAGGACACCCACGACGGCTTGGCGTAGCCTTAAGTCGGTTATATTTTCATCACAGACGGACATCTTGCACTAGCTCTACATTTTAAATTTCAAAGACACTATACAACTAAAGGACTTTTCCAAGAAAAATATCTTCGTAAATCGTTACGCGAACAAAATTAATATTAGCATACCACTGCATAGGTGAGGATCAGTGTCTATTCCCCCAGACGGTAGGTTTCATTACCGCAGGTAAATTAAGTTTATAACTCAAGTTAACGACATTGTTTCTATTCTAAAATCTATTATAATCTATAATCTATTATAAAAGCTCCCGCCGCCTTAGAAAAGGCATGACTAAAGCGTAGCATTATTGAAAACGAATTCTACGTTTCATAACCTTTCTATTAATATACAGCTTGTGGGTGTTTCTTTGAAAACAGCGCTTGTACGAATTTTTGTTTGAAGGACACCCACCCATTATTAGGGTCGTCACGCAACCGTTGCGACAGCGAATGAGACTACCGAAGGCTTGTAGTAACCTTAGGTCGG